ATTACCCAACTAGGTAACATCATCAGTGCTAGTGAGTGTGGGGTTTGCTGCCTGTTTATATGCAGTAGATTGCCCTGCCAGTTTTTATTGGGGGCGGGGTTCCTCCTTGGTAGTTCTTTGATTAGGTATTGTTTTCTGCCTGATTGTTTGCCTAGTGCTGATCTCTGCTTTTCTGGATGTGGGCTGCTGGAGGGGATGTGCTGAGTCTTTATTTCCTTCCTAGTTTTTTTATTGTCTCTTTTGAATGGTTTATGTCTGTGTCTGTTGATTGTTGATTTGTCTGAATGCCAAGCTTGCTGGAATTCTCTAGCATGTTTGGATTTGGCTTGGTCTAAGCTGCTATCAGTTTCCCAGTTGAAACTGTGGTTGAATCTGTCCATGTCCGTCATGTCTTCCAACAGCTAGTTGGCGTTCATGGATGTGCTCTGCTAGTCTTCTGTCTGTCTGTCCTACAAAGTGGCTGCTACAGTCCGTGTATTGTATATAGATGACACCTGCTTTTTTCTCTTTGGCCTACTGGGTCTTTTGGTTTGCAAGGAAGAGTTAATATCATGGGGTTAGCTAACTGAAGGTGGGCAGAATAATAGGGCTATTCTGATTTATTTGAAATCAGTATGCGTGGTCATTATAATCATAAAGTTGGTTCGTGTCACCAAGCTGAGTAAACACCAAAGTGAGACTGCATCTTGGAGACCATGGATGAAAATAGTCTTGGCACAATTTACAGGATGAGGAGAATGAACAGGAAACCATTCAAATTAGAACCAGGTCAGTATCTTTGTGATACAGGAGGAAGGAGAGGAATACCCTCTGGAGAATTGCTTTTGATCTAGCTCTGTATGTTTTTACAACTCTGCCTGGGAATCCCAGCTGCAAGTTAGTTATGTAAATATATGTATTTATAAACATATAATATATAATTGTATTTTAATTAGAATGTTGGTGTTTTGAAAGACCAAAGGTGGTTTTCATAACAGGGATAACTATTTTTAGAAAGTAGGAGAAAAGCAAGCTTTTCCCTCTGCAGGAGCTATGCTTCTAACTGCAGTCATCAAATTCCGTTTTTATCTGCTGATTTCTGCTGGCCAGAAATAGCATAAGCCGAGCAGCCGGTATCCCACATGCGGGGAGGTCTGGTGAGACTATTACCATCCTGTCCTTCCCCACCAAGTTTTTCTCAGCTCATTTTGGTATGGTGTAGCACATAGTGCAGCCTGCACCCACCCATGAAATAAGCATCAAGTCTTAAATCAGATTCTTTATGTGAAGCAAGGTGTTTAAAGGTGGGGAAGTTGGTAGAAACTAGGTGCTAAATGTACCTACAGTAAGAACTTGATGTTGCTCCGCAGAGCACTCTGTGCATTGATGGTGTAAAAATCAAGTTGTGAAATGCATTGGCCCCTCTAACCAGCAGGATTAACTTTGGCCTGGTAACTCTCCGGAGGCTCTGCAAATGTATTCTACTCTGAGCTGTGGCTCTTTGGTTTTAAAACTACTTTAAAAAAAAGTAATTTAACTTGCACCTTAGTCATTTTCTTTGCCATCCCACCACTCCCATCAAGCTTAGAAATAACTTGTTCTTGGGCTCTTGAATGGCTTTTGCTTTAAAATCACTTGATCAGGAAACAAAGGGAATCCTGAATGAAAGCCTGGGTGATGTAGCTCTATCCTGTTTCATGTTTATAAAGCTCAAAGCTGTGATAATGTATGGGATTCACTATTCTAGCCACCGACTAGGATATTCTACTACTCTACCCTTCCTAGGATCTCCAGAAGCTGCCTGAAGTTTGACCCTGTTTATCCTGATGACATAAAGCAACTGAACATTACTGGAGTGTGCTACTTAGGAAACAAGCTGAATTTCACCCTCACCAAAGAGAAAACCACCATCAAAATGACCAGGTCTTCTCCTGATTTACAGTTATCTGTTCTGGAGGTGGTACTGGCTGAAACAGGAGAGCATCTGTCCTTAAAAGAAGGTGCAACATTTCTCTGTTGCCATAATATGAATAGTCCATATTGCCCCTTACAATTTAAGAATTTTATATAGCACCAGGCTAGCACTCAGCATGGCCTTCAGGCACTCGTGTTTGTTGAAGCTGGAACTAAGCCAATCTGGATCCACAGCCAACCAGCAGCTGAGATCAGTCCATATACAGTAGATGAAAAAAAAAATCTATATAAAAGAGTATATGTAGTGACTTGCTCAGGACAGCAGAAGAATCTGATAAACACATGCCAAACGTTTCTGATTATGACACTTATTTCTGTGATAATTTTCCCTCTTTCCATAGGGACAACGCTTTATCCTCTCTGGATTTTCCATGTGGGAATCCAGCCAAAGCAAACCAAGCTAAACAATTACAGCTGACACCCCTTGAGAAATTCAGGTGTTCACAGAATTCTCCCAGTTCCAACTGCTATCCCAGAGCTACTAGAAGAAAATGCACAGCAAGAACCCTGCTTAGCTTAATTCTACTGTGCCACTACATATTTACACCTAGAAATAATGTTAGGCAGTACCCATTGCTGTGTGTGGAAAAAGGTATGGACCCTCTTACAGGGTGGGATCTGTCTGGTCTTCCAGATCATGTTGGGTGCAGTGGTGTCCCCCAGATGCTGACTGGAAATTCTGGAAGTCAAACTGCCATGTTTCTAGAGGGGCAGCAGTTTGGAGAACCTGGACTACAACAAGCTTCATTCCTGACTTTTGGCTAGCGATGTGGCTGAGGGAAGTAGGAATTAATAACAGCTGGAAATGTATAGGTTCTCCAACTCTATTATACAGATGTGTATAGAAAAGTAGCATAAATTAAGCTATGGAATTGGTATAGGTTTCAATCACTATTTTACATATTGTGCCTTTCTTTTCATTTCAGGACAAAGTGTCTCCTTCTTTACAACTGCTGGTTGGATTCAGAAAGCATCTATTGAGCCATTTTAAATCCATCTTATTGTAACTTTATGCACATATGAAAACTATTAAAGAGTTGATAATTTTCTTATTTATTTCACGTTATTATTGGCATATTACAGAGACATGATTCATTTGTAAAGTTCAGCAGTATCACTGGATAAATTTTTCTTTTAATCAGTACATAATGTTATATTATACAGCCTGAAATAATGCAAGTTGCATGGATACTTAATGAAAAATGTATGCCTATGCTTTTGTCTTTAATACTGTTGATGTGTTGTTGCCATCAAACTGGGTGTCAAACATTTATATCATTATTTGTACAACATAATTCTTGCATGTTTATTTCCCTTTTTGCAATAATATAATAATTCACATCAGAATTATAAGGTACAATATTATTATGCTAGCCAAATTACCACAGTAGATGAGTTTGTAAATAACTGGAGCTATATAAGCTATTTCCATTTCTTTGGTAATATATTTGTGAAGGCCCTTCTTGTGGTTTTCAGTATTTCCAGTTTATTTTTCCTTGTGATCCAGACATTCATGACACTCAGTTTCTGAAATGAGTATCCAGAGCTTAAGCCTGCCTGAAATGTTTCCTCCCTGACATGAAAGCTCTGCTTTTCAATCTTAGTTCTATGGTGATTAGGCTGGAGTTTAAAAAGAGCTTCTCTTCATGCCTACTGGGAGTCATGATCTGCATCAAGGCCATTCTCATTCGGATAATATCTGGGAAAAACTCCATATTTGGATAGCCTCTATCTTGGGACCAAACTAAAAATTCTCAAAAGAATGTGCAAGTTGAATGGTCTAGAATTCTTCATCAAGAATGATGTTGCCCATCCCCTAAAATAAAATAAGGGAGAAGGCCCCCAAATCATTAAGCCAGAATTTCAGCCGTAAAGTCCAAACTTCAAAGTCAGTCCCAAGAGAAACGTGACTGTTAGATGTTCCTTCTTCCGAAGTTGCTCCTCAATACTGTTTTTTCTGACTTTTTTGCCTGATGGAACAATACTGAGCGAGTTCTGACCCCTCACACTGGATTTTGTGACTTTGGACCTCAATCACCTGCTATGGGTTTCTTCCTGCGTGGGCCCACACAGCTGTGGTTCTTGCCTATGTATGGAATGAAGCTGGGGGCTTCTTTGGACACAGAAGGGGATCTGTGGATTTCAGGGTCAGTTTAGGTCAGGAATCACGACTAGCCCCTTCACTGGGAGGAAGAAAACCTTCCTTCTTTCCAAATAATGGAGCAGTATCTGCAAGAGGATGCTTGGCAGCGAAAGAAGCCGCCTGTGGAAAGGAGCCAGCGGGCTATTTAAAGGCATTTGGGAGGCGTCACTTCTATCCACTTTTAGCCTTTGAAAGTCAACAAAGCAACCACATGATGGCATCCAAACCACAGCTACAATCAGAGTCATCCAAGAAAAAGAAGCATCCGAGAAAAAAGATAATCCTGCCTCTGGTTGCTCTGACCTAGCCTGCAAAAACCTTGATGTTCTGGGTCACTGGACTATATCCTGCAGCTTTGCTGATTCTTGAGTGTACTGCAGTGACTATGTGGGAGGTGAGCTGTGGTTCAATAGCATTTTGGAATTCACCATTGGAAAATGCTGACAAGTGCAGGGGGGCTGGGTGCCTGTTTGCCGTGTCAAGGCCTGTGTCTTTCCATTCTGCAGCACAGCCAGTAGAGAGAAACTGCAACTTCATTTGTCCAACTGGGGCTTCTGCTTGCTTCCTTAGGTGAGAAAAATAAGCAGAAATGCTCTCCTGACTTCTTTAGATTTTTGCAATCCATCCTCCATGGAGCTGCCTTTAAAAATGGTTCGGAAGCTGCTGCTGATCAAGAGGGGGGGGGGTGTTTCAAAACTTATTTGGAATCATGGTGTGCCAATGCTGTTGGCAACTCCACCTGCTCCCTGTCCATTTCAGGGCCTAAGTACTCCCTTTTAAAGCAGTGGACGGGATGTCTTGCTTGAGGCCGCCTGGATTGCCAGAGTGCACATTTTAAAAAATATGTTTATATATTTGTAGTATGCTTTTGGTACACCTACCAACATAGAAACTAGGGCTGGGCAGTGCACGATAAGCAAGAACAGGGAAAAAACATAAAAGATTGTATATTGCACATATCCCCACACAGCTATTATTTCTGCTGTGTGCATGTACAAACAAGCAGATAAGTCTTGTTGGGAAGATAATCAAGAGTATGATTCCACAGGAGATGGAGGGAGAGAAATCTTGTCACTCCCCCTCTAGTGATCTTGTGCAGTTTCAGTTAACTCAGTGACAACAACACTGATCTTACACATGGCTCTGGGCTAAGCAAGATCAAACCTGCTTATATTTTGATGGAAGATCCCAGAGCAGTACAATAGACTGGGAAGCCAAGCTGCTGCCAGAAAGCAGCAACAGTGCACAACTTGCATTTTGTTGCAGGAAAACTGGATGGAGATGTCCATGAAGCTACCAGAAGTTGAGCTCAACTCAAGGGAGTCTTCTTGAGTAGAGCAGAGCACAGAAGCAATGATACCTGCCCCTCCCTCCCTGGGTCTCTGCTCAGAACGGCTAGTTTTCCCACAGCCTTTTGCACGGAAAAAGCAGCATTGCAGAGAGAATACAAGTAATCCTCGTTTGGTGACTGCCTCATTTAGTGACCATTCGCAGTTACGACAGTGATGAAAAAGTAACTTTGCAAGCAGTCCTCACAGTTATGACTGCAGGTCTGTAAAGCAAAGGAAAGCTGGAGTAAGATCATAAGCACAGTTGTGGTTTCATTTGGTGACCACTTTGCTTAATGACCGAGTTGCTGGTCCCAATTGCAGTCACTGAATGAGGACTATCTGTAGATGTAATTGACTGTGAGAATAACTTTGAGGAAGAGCGGCAGCCAAGGCAACAGTCAACTAAGAAATATCTCAGCCCATAGCAGGAATGTAATTTGAGTAAATGTCTCAGACCGAACCCTCCCTGTACTCTTTAGGATAAAGGCAAGGGAGGCAGGGAGGCACATTCAGAGTTGCAAGATTCTGTTACCGTAACCCTCTAATAAAAGTAGTTTTCGTATTCACAACTTTGGTGTCTGAGTCTGACCTACCTTGAAGAGCTGACAACAGGCAACTATTCCCCCCAAATAACTCGGGAATTCTGGGAGTTGAAGTCTACACATCTTAAAATGGCCAAGTCTGAAAAGCACTGGTTTACATGTGTCACAGCTCTGTTCCTTACATACCTTATTAGATTTAGGAAAGGAACAGCCGTGTCCTTTATTATTTCTAGCTTGCATCCTGGGATTTTGTACAAGACAGCAGTTTGGACAAAGAGAGCTTCTTTCTAACTTTTGTTAGATGCTCATCACTTCCTCTTTTCCTTACCACTACTTTGTTTTATGCCACTTATTTGCTGTTGTGATGGCTTCTAGCTTACTTTTTTATGTACCTTAAATACCATCTTGGTCATGTCTGCTAAATGTATGTTGATTTCAGGTGCAGCAATATCTTACTCTTCAATCTGCAAGGGAGGTATTTTGCAATGAAGAATAATCCAGCCAAGGTCATCCACTTTGAGCCTTTGGATGAGTCCCAACATTGCATATATTGGAACAGAATTTTACAAGTGGATCAGACTACATGACCCAAACCATATTTCCTGCTTACAACCACTATTTACAATGCATAATTACCCATCTAATAATGCAGATTCTGTGATGGCCATTCATTGTTCGTGCATTGAGGAATTTGCTCCCAGTCACCCTGGAATCCGACATTTTCCCCTTCCAATGATGGGCTTTGGGTTGCCTTCCAGGTGAATTTGCAATCCTAAATGAACATGGGCTGATTTTTATATGACCGTCGCTTCTGGAGAATTCCCTCATGCTACATTTAGTCTGTTGTGATTGTGATTGAGCCATTTGGAACATCTATGTAATGAAAAGGCTATGCAGATTAATCAGTAAAATATCCTGACTCTCCCTGAATTGCATGTCTTAAATGTAACTATATATTCTCTGGGTTAGAAAATGGAGCATATTGTCCTCTGTTGATACTGTATTGGTAAAGCATTTTGCAGTACTGTAGTTTCTGCACTGTTTTGCTATGTGCAAACCATTTCCCATAGATTTGAGCAGCAGATTAAATGATTCAAATTGCTTCATAGAGAGAGGTGCACTTTTTCCAGACCCTAACCCTGTCGGGAACCCTGGAGAACTAGTGTGTGTCACTATTACATAGCCAATATTTGGCTAACCGGATAAACAATCTGACAAAATGAAAGGCAATAATTGGGCAAACAGCACATTCTTTCCAACCCTTTCTCCCCCACCACCTGAACATGCAGCAATGCTGTATGCTGTAATGCTTCCCTAAAAAGAAAGGCCCAACAATGCCAATTGTGGCGTGGAATATTACAATAGAAGAGCTTTCCTAGATACTTCTGCATCAGTGAGAGACACACTTTTGTTGAGCTAGAAAGGATTTGCCTCTCATTTGAGCAATCAAATGATGCTCTTTGATTGACAAAGAGGCACCTATAATTTCTTCAAGGGGAGGAATTGAGACGATGCAAACAATGGAGGAGTGGGATAGAAGGCTGGAAGGGGGAAATAGCCAAAGTCCCCTCTTATTGTTCTTAGCCTGAGATGTTTGCCAGTATATAAGAATACCACGCTATCCTGTACTAGGTTGTACAAATCCCTGAGTTAACAGATACTTCAGTGAGTGATGATTGCTAATGTATAAATCCCTATCTAATGCTTTCTTCAGAACAACTTTGTTTCAATAGAAGAGAATAAACAGTATGTTGCCCATGGTTGAACTTTTGGGTTCTTGGTGTACTCTGAACTTGGTTGTTGGGGTTTCCTTTTGGCAGATGTTTCATTACTAAGCTAGGTAACATTATCACTAATTAGCTCTCACTGATGATGTTATCTAGCCTGCTAATGAAATACAACCAAGTTCAGAGAGCACCAAGAACCCCATCACTGTTTGTTAAGGCAATTCTGCACTGTAGGCTAAGCTGCTTATCTTCCATGCTGCTCCCAGCTGTTTCTTAAGCCAACTTCAGAAATTGCAGCCTAGACTGTAGTGGTTGGTGAGAAAGGTGGGCTGGTGCTCATTTCAGATTATGGCCTGATTGGACATCCCCCTGTTTCTTGCCCTGCCCATCCATGGAAGGAAGGCAGGCCTTGCTCGCAGGTTCCTGGGTGGACCAGTCTACCAGTGCCTGCCTTCTCTTTTGGGGAATTGTTCCTTCCTCACTAGTCCCTGTGCCTTTCCTTTGCTTTCCCAGATCTTTGCATACATGGATGCATTGCTTCCCACATTACCTCTTTTCACCTCCATGCACACCCTTCCTTTTTCCTTTTTTTTCCCTTGGGGTACCCTCATTGCTCTGATGCTACAATAATCGAAGCAATAGGAACAGGTTTATCTTTGTAACAAGGAAGAAGGGGTAGTTCAGCTTCACAGAAACGAAGTAATGATGTTCCCAGGTTGCAGCTTAAAAGTGCTTTAAAATACAAGAAAAGGAAGGGACGCTTGGCGGGGCTACGAGCAGAGGGTGGGAAAGCAAAAGGGGCAGAAACCAAAAGAGTGTCCATGGGAGATGTAAGGGCTGGAATGGAGCATGAGCTTCTAGGGCTGAGGACAGTTTACTGACTTAATGAGCCATGCTGGATCAATCCCAAGACAATAAAACCCAGCGACTGCTGACCAGCAGAGAAGACGGCAGCCCAAAAGCCTGAGCTGCCAAATGCAAGAACGGCCCGAGGCAGTGACCAGTTGCTGGAGAGGAGGGGGGCGGGCCAGCCATTGCAGCCAATCAGAGCTGGGGCTGCAACCAGAACCAAAGGAAGCACCAGGGTCTCTGTGTTCTAAAGCAGGGTTCCTCAACCTCAGCAACTTTAAGATGAGTGGACTTCAACTCCCAGAATTCCCCAGCCAGCATGTAGAACAGAAACAGCCAACCCTGTTCTAAAGGGCTTAAGAGGGCTCAGGTTGGAGAACAGCAGTTTTGAATCAAAGCTGGAAAGCACAGGTGGGAATGCATTTGCAGGCTCGGGGTGGGAGGAGGACAAGATCATCCATTCCTGCCCTCAGGAAGCAGTGAAGGGCAGATCTGTCCTTAGGCTGAGGCATAGTGATTTGACCAGGGTCATCCAGTGTGCCTTCTTGAACCTTGAACTTCCTGAACAGAGATTTGGATTTGTCCCTTTCTAACCCCAGCCTAAATTTAGGTCTCTCCTACTACTCAATGCATTTGCTCAGTTTTGCCCTTGCCTAAAGGCACTTGGAAGGTCCAAAGTTTCCAATAGTTTTCTGGCTGCTCAAAAACCAGACCTACGAGCAATAGGTCTGTCTTCTGCACTTGATATCTTGGCTGCTTGCTTATTTCCACCCAAACAGTATCATGTTTCCCTAGCTGGCATTCAAACACCAGTTCTTCTTTTGCTAGGATTTGATTTTATCCAAACAAACTCCACAAATTCCAAACTAACCCTCATATATAAAAAGCCCAGAACCCCTGTGGCCATCAAGCTGGCATGTGGGAACATTTAACAAGGGAGTGAAATGGACCTTGGTGCCTTGTAATTAGGCTGGCGGCAACTCAGGACCTGTCTTTAGTAGGGGGAATGTGCATCTCTTAATCACCAGAACCCCACAACTGTTTTGAAGCCCTTTAGGACAGGTTCAGGGAACGCACATAGTCTGCCCTTCTTCAATGAGCCATAAGTAGGATGATTTATTTCGAAGTAACACAGACGAGCTGAAACTTTATGAGTTGAGTGGCCTTTTAAATTTGATCTGATTTGAGAAATCTCTTGCTCTCATCTAAGGTAATCTCTATGATTGACAGCAGGGGCCTCCATGTAACTAATAGCATTGTTCCACATCTCTGAGTCTGATATAGGCTAAGCAAAATCCAAGCAAAGTCAGTCCTTTCTAAACCCCACTGATTTTGGTGGAAAAGAATTGATTAAGCTTGTTGGAATTGTTACTATTTCTTGAACAGCCATATTCTTCTAAATAAATACACATGGGAAGAGATCAAAACTCCCACTGAGGGCAAGTTTCTTTCAGCATGACTTCAGGAATGCTCTCTTATAATAATAGCTGACATTATAAAAGGTAATGTGTTAAGCATGTGACAAGTAACTAGAAATGGCTGTGTGTTTCCATTCTAAAGACCCCCATTGTGCACAGCCATGTACCTTACAGTCTTGCTCAGAAGGAAGCCCCTCTGCATTCACAGAGAAGTGTATCTAGGATGTCAGCCTTAATAAAGAGCTGAACAGGAGCCCACCTTCTGTGGCAACCTGAACAGTTGGAAGTTCTAAATCCTGCACACACCAGAATTGTTTTCACCACACAGAAATCTGGGAGTCAACACTGAACTTAAAGGAACTGAAGTAGTTGACTAGATATCCAGTTGTTCCATGTTGCTCAGTCACGACACCAGCAAATGAAAGGGAACTGTTAGCAAATGGCACATCCCATTGGTTTCCTATGACCACAAGTTGCAATATTTAGCTGCTGATAATAATGATATAATGATTGGCTTTCAACACAGCTCACACGTTTCATGCCACCATCCAGCAAAACAGCTGGAAATCTGGTGCTTGGTAAGATGGTCAAGCAATAGTAAACAAGGTAGCTGTTCGCCACAAAGGCTTCAAAGACCAGCAGCTTCTCTACTATTATCCTGGATTGAAATAGCCAGACTATGTAATAAATCTTCAACCCAGGCAGACAAAAGGGTAACACAGACCAGGGCAAACAACTGGAGGGTGCACGTCTATCCAAGATTAAAGAGGACTTTTTATGCTAGGGAGTGCTTTTAAAACAAATGGCTGAGGTAAGAGAGAGAAGAGAAACCAGTAAATTACAGAGCTTTGCATTACATTGCAATCCTTGTTCCTCAGTGTAACCAAGAATCTAAAGAAGAGTGAGCCTTAGAGGAATGTTAAGTAGAGGTTGTGAATCAATGGACATTTTGTAAAACATCTCCCAAGAAGCCCAAAATGGCAAGGGAAAGCAGAAGAGCTTGGGATATGAGTTTTGGGTTATTTTATGATACTTCTATACTAGTAGCAAATGCAAGTACTTTGCAATAATATAATTTGACTGTATTTCCCTCCTTTGTTAAGGGAAAGGAAGCCAACACATTCCAGTTATTATAACAAAAACTTGATTAAGAATGTCTGAGGATACAGCAGCAGTCTTCAGCTGGCAAATCACTACAAATATTCACAAATCACTCCAGATCTGGAAGAGGTGTATTGCTCGTGGATTTTAATAAGCAGGGATTAGCATGGGGTGTACTGATCCGGTTTCAATATTGTACCACATCACATAGAATTAGTAAAGGACCGTTAAATGCAAATGACTCTGTTTGGCTTGCCTAAAATTGCCTTTATGCTAAGGAAGTTATTCAGACAAGGTTACAGGCCCATTTAAGTCATGTCTATTTAAAGAAAATAGATTCTGAGTCCAAATTACATTTGCAGTAGGTTCTGCTGTCTCTCCTATCCCCAGTTCTGAAAGACTCGGAGACTGCAATCACAAGCATGCATAGTTGGAAGTTTACACCTTTCACCCTAAACCAGTGTTGTCCAAACTTGGCCACTTTAAGATGAGTGGACTTCAACTCCCAGAA